CTCATCGTCGTCGTCCTCCTCGTCCACTTCCGCCCAGCCTATCCACACTCGTGCCCCCCAGCTTTCGGACCGGCCCCATGGGGAGCATCCGTGGGCGACACGCCCCACAACGGCACAAGCAAAGCACCTACGAACCCAATGAAAACGTACAATTGCCCAGACAACACCGCCGGGGTCTGCGACGACCCCTCCGAAAGAAGCTCGAGAGCACCTGCTTCACCTCCAACTCTCCTCACACACCGCCTCATGAAAACGGCCGCCGCCCAGCAGCACCGCATTGACAACGAACACTCGGACATTCGGCATCGGTGAAACAGTATGGGCCAGTGGAGTGAGCGAAGCGAGTAAACAAAGTGTTCGCGGGAGGAGGAGGAGGAGAAGGAGGAGGAGGATGACGACAAAGAAAGTAACGGAGACGACGAGGAACAGGAGGAGGACGACGACAAGCGCGAGAAGGAGAGTGCGGATGAACGGGAGAGAAGGACGACGACGAGCAGGAACGGGAGGCAGAGTCAGAGGGATGAAGAGGATTTCTGGCAAGGGGGGGAAGGGGGGCGATGCTTGCAGGCGTTGCCGAGTTCACGGCGGAAGAGGGCACCGTGGGCGTGCCGCCCCGGGTGGCGCTATGCCTCACCAAGGACGTTTCCCTCTCTTCTCCCTCCCTCCGTCTCGGTGATGTCGGGGGCGGCCATGGGGGGGGTGACGGGGGGGAGGAGGAGGAGGAGGAGGAGGAGGAGGAGGAGGAGGAGGAGGAGGAGGAGGAGGTAAGGGGGATGTATGCCATGGCTGGGGCTATGATCTCTCCTCTGATTTCATGGCCCCCTCTTCCGCAGTTGCACACGTCCGCTGGCCCTCACCGCGTTCGCGCACGTGCCTCGGGCCACGATCTGCGAGATCCCTCCCTTCCTGGACGCCCCCGATAGTGTCGCGGTTCAGGATTCCATCAGCCTCATTCCATTCCATTCCTCCTCCTGCTCCTCCCCCCCCTCCTCCTCTTCCTCCTCCCCTCCCTCCTCCTCCTCCTCCCTCCTCCTCCTCCTCCTCCTCTCTCCTCCTCCTCCTCCTCCCTCCTCCTCCTCCTCTCCTCCTCCTCTCTCCTCCCTCCCTCCTCCCGGTTCCCTTTGTCTCCCTCTCCTCCTGACCCTCCCCTCCCCCGTCCTCCTCCCCCCCTTCCCCTTCCTCCTCCTCCTGCTCCGTCGTCGTTGTCTTTCTTATAAGCTCCTCTTCTTTGTCGCAGCGCCAGGGGTTTCTTCATTGGCGGTGGTCCGAGCTGTGTTGCCTGATACTCCCTCGCAGTGTATACGGTCGGGAACTTTTGGACAGCGTGTCACTCGGCCGGTTTTGGCCCACCACGCTTCGGAGCAGCACGATTATCCATTTCCCAGTCCCCAGGCGTCAAGGTCTCAAGCCTTTCCCAGCCTCCCGGAAGCGAAGCGGAGCGGCACGCTGTCTTCTCGCAGGGCACAGCGTGTCGCCGGGGCCGCCGCCGCGACACGCTGAGCAAACGACCCCGACCGCAGTTAACGGGGAAACCCCACAGCAGAATCTGAACTCTTGCCCCCCGTCCTCCCACTCCTCTGTCTCCTCCCCCTCCTCCACCTCGTCCTCCTCCTCCTCTCCTCCTCCTTCTCCTCCTCCTCGTCCTCCTCCTCTCCTCCTCCCTCCTCGTCCTCCTCCTCCTCGTCCTCCTCCTCCTCCTCCTCCCTCCTCTCCTCCTCCTCTCCTCCTCCTCTCCTCCTCCTCCTCCTCCTCCTCCTCCTCCTCCTCCTCCTCCTCCCCCACTTCGCTCCCCTCCCTCTCCTCCCCGTAGTCCTCCCCCTCATCCTCATCACCCCCCTCCCTGTTTCCTCTCTCTCTCTCTCTCCCCCACCGCCCGTGGCCCGAAGGGCGCCGGCCTGGGCTCCCTGGCGGCGGTGGCGCAGGCGGCCCCGCGGCGAGAGGAGAGGGGCGCCTGCTCGGAAGGGGTGCCGCGAGAGGAGAGGGGCGCCTGCTCGGAGGGGCGACCCAGCGGCGAGAGGAGAGGGACAAGCATTAGCGAGCACGCATGCCATATCTCGGCGGCGAGCGGGGGGGGGGAAGCGAGAAGGAGGAGGCCTTCTCAGAAGGCGGCGGGGCTTCACAGAAGCGCTTCTGCCTCATCAGGACTTTCCTGTGTCTCCGGGGAGGACTCGGGGAAGTTCTCAGAAGGTCGGGGGACTTGCGAGCCTTCTGAGAAGCCCCGCCCCCTCTCACTTCCCTTCTGGGCTCGCCGCCGATTACTCATCTGTCAATGCCCCCCCCTCCCCCGCCCGAGATCGTTCGCAGGCTGACTCGGCGTCTGGCTCCGAGTCCGTGAGGTTCCCATTCTGTCCCCGCGATCCACTCACGATGTGCACCGCGAGCCCTCAAGACCCGCTATCTTCGTCTTCGATTACGCCGCCTTCGAACTCGGCGAGCGAGGGGGATAAGTGAGAAGGAGAAGGCTTCCTCAGCAGGCGGCGGGACTTCTCAGAAACCCTTTGCGCCTTCTGAGAAGTTTCCTGCCTCTTCGGGAAAGGCTCCGAGAATTCTCGGACGGCCGGGGAACTTCTGAGCTTTCCTGAGAAGGCGCGCGCCCTTCTCACTCTTCCCCCCCCTCGCTCGCCGCCGACGAACGACTCCCCCTCCCTGCGGGGGCGGGCGCAGGCGGGCGAGGCGGGGCGGGGGGACCCCAACAGAGGTCGGGCGCACCTCTCGGCGGGCGGCTCCCTCCCTCGCGGGTCGAACAGCCCGTCGGGCCCGGAGCGTCTCGGCCGTGAGTTTTGGGGGGCGGCTCGGGCCGCGGCGGCGAGGCGGAGAGGGGGCTGAACACCCGCATCAGTACGACTGACTTGTCCTCATCTCTGATGGGCCTGTTTTCCACCACCACCACCATAAGTTGGAGGGGGGAAGGAGGTGGAGGATGAGGAGGAGGAGGAGGAGGAGGAGGAGGAGGAGGACGAAGAGGAGGAGGGAGAGGGGGAGGGAGGAGGAGGAGGGAGGAGGAGGAGGAGGAGGAGGAGGAGGAGGAGGACCCCCTCCCCCATCCAACTTATGGTGGTGGTGGCTGAAAACAGGCCTATCAATCTCTTCCTTTCTTCTCCAGACACGCGTGCCCTGACTTTTACTATGCGGGGTCCCTGGGAGTCCCGACCCTTTCTCCAGGGCCGGTCTTCCATCCCGGGCCGTTTTTGTTGACGGTCCGGGGGCTCGGCGAGGGCCACCAGATGCCGACAACGACGAACAAAGTGCCGTGCGGCACGGTTCAAAACGTGGGAGGTTTGGGTCTCCATTCTTTCTCCACACATCGACGCCTGGCTCTCACTTCGCGCCAGCCAGGCCAAGCAGCCAGGGCAAAGGCACCCTGCTGATTCTCACTGAGTGGGCGGAGGTGGAGCAGGAGGAGGAGAAGGAGGAGGAGGACGAGGAGGAGGAGGACGAGGAGCAGGAGGAGGAGGAGGAGGAGGAGGACGAGGAAGATGGGGAGGAGGGAGGAGGAGCAGGAGGAGGAGCAGGAGGAGGAGGAGGAGGAGGAGGAGGAGAGGAGGAGGAGAGGAGGAGAAGGGGGGGAGGAGGAGGAGGAGGAGGAGGAGGGAGGAGGAGGAGGAGGAGGAGGAGGAGGAGGAGGAGGAGGAGGAGGAGGAGGAGGAGGAGGAGGAGGAGGAGGGGGGAGAGGAGGAGGAGGAGGAGGAGGAGGAGGAGGAGGAGGAGGAGGAGGAGGCGGTCTCTTCTGGTCGCCCCTCGCGCTGCACCGCGCTCCTCGCGTGCGTCGCCGCCCCGCGGAGGTGGAGGTGCGCTACGCCAGGCTGCCCCGCAGCCGCAAGAGCCGCGTCGCCTTCCAGCCGCGCGGGGGCGCCCAGCGCTGCCTGTGGGGAGGAGGGGGAGGGGGGGGTGGGGCGGGTGAGGAGGTTTAGGCCTCCTAGATGGGGTCGGAGTACATGCGGTCGGAGAATCGCGCCGCATCGCCGATGCATCGGCGACGAATCGGCGATGCGGCTCGATGTGGGGCACAGTTTTCGCCACGCCGGCGTCGCCGATGCACCGCCGACGTCGCAAGTACACGGCCAGTGCAATCCTCCGGCCCCATCTGTTCGGGCCCCATCTGGGAGGCCTCTAGGAGGTCAGAGGAGGAAGATGCACCCATACCTCTGCCCTTCGCCCCTTTTCCCTCTTCGTTGGCCTCCCGAGAGGCCCTCGTTGCCACCGCTGGATTCTCCTCGAAGTCCGGGTCAGAACGCACCCTTTGAGAGAGGTCCTGGGAGCAGCAGTACCGTTGTCCCCGGAAGGGGGAAGAGGAGGGGGGACCGGAGCCGGCGGGGACATCCGAGGGGGCCCTGCTCTGGGCCCGGCCTGGAGGAAGGGGGGCCAGGCTCGAGGCGCTGGGTTCGGGCCGCCAAACAAGATATGTGGTGAAGTGCTGCACCAGGTGGACCCTGGGTCTGGGGACTGCTACTGAGCGGATTTGCCCTCAGCCCCCTTCCTGGCTGATGTTCTCTGGGCCCGTCCAGTTCAGACCCACCGGCGGCCTTCATGATGGGCAGAGTATCCACCACCGGGGTGAAGGGAGGATGATGAGGAGGTCCTCCTCTTCCTCCTCCTCCTCCTCCTTCTCCTCCTCCTCCTCCTCCTCCTCCCTCTCCTAACCTCATGAAGCAATTAAGAAACCACCACCACCCTCTCGGGCGAAAGTATAACGCACCCGGCACCCCAGAAGCGTTACCCTGGCACCTCGCACCTTTATGTGAACGCAGGCGAGTCTGCTCTCCGAAATAAGCAAACCGCCTGAGAAATTCTCGCAGTATGGTCTCAAGGTGGTTCTGAAACAAGCGCCTCGCCTGAGGCATCCTCAGAAACTGCTCTGGACGCAGACGAGTCTGCGTCAGGTGGTCGGTCTGGGCGAGAACTGGAGTGGCCGCGCGTCTTCCCAGCGCTTGGCCTTCCGAGCAGGGGCGCCTCAGCAAGGGAGAGCCCAGCTTTGAAAAGGAACCGTCCGTGCCTACGATGGGGGGCGAATCATTTTTGCGGTGCGGGTGCTAAGATAACGCGCCGTGCGTGGGGGGGCGGGGCGATATCCTCGGATGCACTACCCCACACGACGGCCGGGAAAAACAATTGTTTCAATAGGGGTGACAAAAAGAATCGTATAGGACAAGGATGATGAACAAAATGAGAAAAAGGAGGGAGGGAGGAAATAAGCAGGGGAGCCTGTCTGTTTTCGGATTGTCATTAGTATGAGTATCCTTACTCTTATTCGTAGTCTTATTCGTATTAGTACTAGTATGGTGAGTAGGTCTATAAGTATTGGTCTTATTGTACTTGTTGTCTATTGGTCCAGCTGTAGTTATACTCGTCTTATTGCTAGTACTATCAGTATCATTTTTCTGATTCGTGACATTATTATTATTCTTATTACTCTTCTTCTTAGCAGTATTGTTATTACTCGTATTTCATTCGTATTGAATTTCTTATTCCAATTCCACTTGGGTACCACCCGAGCCGGGGCTTTGGAATCCTTTATTTCCGTTCCATTTGCGCGGTGCTAATCATATCGTTCGGCGACAACCGCCCCCCAGAATTATTTGATTGATTACGGTGCAGTGCTAATGATAACCCCGAGGGGGTCCTTGAGGGCTTCCTGAGGTTACACATGGTAGTGGTGGTGGAACATGGGCCCATGACTTCAAGGGGGGACAAGCTAGGTGCGCTCGCGCAGATCGCCCAGGGGAGAGAGCACCTCGATGTAATCACACAGGGGCTCCGCTCGCCCCTGTCTTCAGCGAGGCTCCCTGGCGAACACGTCCGTGCAATGCCCGCCCCCGGGCTGAAGCACCTCTTGTGCCTTCGCCTGCAAGCTTCATGGGAACGCGATCCGAGCAAGGATGGATCGACGAAGGAAAACGCCATGAATAAACTTTGGGCGCTCCGCGCAGAGTTCTTGGATCCGCGCTGGGCACCCCCAGCGGCGGCCCCGGCGCCGCTCCTGGCGAAATCCGCGCGGAGCGCCAAAAGTTTATGTTTATCAGGAGGGGAAAAAACACACAGACACAATTAATCGTCGATCCCCAGGAAAATATGCGAAAATATGGGAATGGGGGGGAAGACAAAAACCCAGAAAATATGAGAAAATATGGGGAATATCTTTATTTGTGTGTATTTATGTGTGTGTTCTGGGGGCCCTTTAGTTTATGCGTTTTTGGCCGAGGCGGTCAGGGCTTCCACGTGGGCGGCGCGTCGGCTTTCAGGATCGACCTGGAGCACGTGCTGCAGGAGACACCCCCGCGGCCTGTCCGCACGGGCTGCGAGCGGAGGGCTGCCGCACGCGGCAGGGGACCTTATGTGATTTCAGCGGTCGGCACCAGTCAGGAGGGAAAAAACACACACAGACACAATTAATCGTCGATTTCCCAGAAAATATGGGAAAATATGGGAAGTGGTGGGGAAGTCAAAAACCCAGAAAATATAGGATAATATGGGGAATCTTTTTATTTGTGTGTATTTATTTGTGTGTCCCAGTTTCCCTTCAACCAGGCCGCCAGTGCCAGCTTCATCGCTTCGCCATTTCCTTGGCCATTCCCCCCCCCTCTCTCTCTCTCTCCCTCTCTTCGCAAGCCTAGAGATTGACACCAACACCAATAGCGGCGGTGTGCCTCCACCGAGGGAAGAAGATCCCGATCTCGGTGATGGTGGTAATGTCCTGGCTTCCAGGGTGACCGAACTGTTGCCACCCACACCGAAATCTGGGATTATCACCCCCCTGTGGAGGCAAGCCTCTGTGTTGGTGCTGGTGCCCATTTCCAGGCCTCCAATCTCTCCCTCTCTCTTCCCCTCTGTTGTGCTCAGCGCGCCAAGGCTGCGTCTCCCGACCCCCCCAGAGAGCCTGATATTATCGAGGGCGCCGCACGGCCGACCGGGGGCCCCCGCGCCGACCCGACGAAGGAGTGGTCCGAGCGTCGCGGAGAGGCCGGAGACGGCCCAGGCCAGTCTCGTTGGGCGTTGCGTAATGGGGGCGTCATAAATGGGGGGTTGGTGAGGGTGGTCCGAAAAGGTACCCAAACGGTACCTAAACGAGCCCCCTGGGGGTCCAGAGGGGCCCGAAAGGGGCACGAAAGGGGACCTTTTCTGAACCCCCCATTTGTGACCCCCTCATTAAGCCACGCCCAATCTCGGGAAGCACCCGCACGTTTCTCTCGGAGGTGGACAGACCTCCTGCCCTGACGCGTCGATTCAGGAATTGGCCGTGTTCGGTTCGCGAGAGGGCGTCGCGGCCGTCATTTTTGCGGGTCCAGGTCCGTGGGTTTCGGTACCAGGCCGATTTCACTGAGGGGAGGTTTACTAAAGGGAGGTTTGTCCACCGCCGATTCTCTGCGGGCAAAAAAGATCTCGAGGCTTTTCGTTGGCTGCAGTGGCGCGGAAAGCAAATGCCTCTCTCTCGCAGGAGATTTGCGCTGAGTCTGCAGAAGTCGTCTTGGTTTCGATAGCTGAGCTTGTGGGCACGAGTTGCTGGAGGTTGTTGTTGGCCTTGCAGATTCAGCTATACTATACGATGCGTGCCCTTACATACGATACACAAGACAATGAACCAGAGTGTACAGACAATTCAAGCAAACAGCAACAGCCTAGCTTGTTTATGAGCCGCGTTACGCGCCGAGTCGTTCGTTACGGTTTGTTGTCCTTGACTGTTGTGGTTGTAGTTTCTCTCCGTCTCCTTCTGTCTTCTCTCTCTCTTTCTGTCTTCTCTCGCTTTCTGTCTCCCACTCTCTCTCTCTCTCACTCTCTCTTCCATCCCCCCTCCATCAAAGGAGTCGTTGCGTGGGCACACTGCGCTGAGCGAGGGTGACTGGTTGCCCATCCGGCATGAGGTCCTGCCTGTGCCCATGTGTTGACACTTCCTTGCTGCACAATCAAAGACGGTGACAGAAGGCACAGGGAGAGCAGCGATGCCCCGATTATGATAAGTCGGAGAGGGGCTGTGGGAGACGGATAGAGCTGAATCGAGTTAGGCTCTTGCACACCTCATGCAACATCATGCCTCTCCCAGTCGCGCGCACTCTTTCATCCAGTCGTGCTGCGTCGTGTTGTCCGTATTATTCTGGTGCACGCATTCCCCTGACATTGAGGGGCAACATCTACGACCAAACGAAAGGCCTGACGCGGACAGCCGTCGACAAACATCACCCACGATGCCGCGGGGAGGTCCCAGGCAGCCCGAAAGGCAGAGTATCAAAGGGTGCATCGCGTCTGCAGCTGCCGGGTTGCGTGCTGCACTGGGGAGAAGCGGGCGCTGCGCTTCGTGGCGAGGAGAGGTAACCCGAACAGGCGACGACACCTCACAGACAAACAGACTGTACGAGAAGGGCTGTGGCCCAGGGGCTCGGCAGCAACTCGCGCGAGCCGCGCACGCCCTCGACCCTCCGTGCCTGCCCTCGAGCGTCCGCCCCTGGAGTGCACCAGCGTGCGCTGGCCTCTGGCAGCCGATGCGCGGCCGACCTAATACCAGCGCCGATGAGCCTCGACGTCGCGCCGATGAGCGCCGCGGCGCGGCGGCTCGCGCCGGCTCCCGCGCGAGCAGGCAAGATCAAGCAGTGGCGAAGCGTCCTGGCTCGCCTATAGGCCCACAAGACAATGTTCTAAGAACCTTTTGTGGTTTCCACGAAATGTTCTTAGAACATCTCTGATTGAGATTGTCTTGTTTTATCACATCGGGATTATGTTCTAAGAACCGTGGTTTTGCTCTTAGAACATTTTGGGGTTCTAAGAACATTTCGTGTTAGGACGGTCGGTCGGTCGGTCCCTGCTCAAAAGGGGGCGAGGCTTGAATCGGGCCTGTCCCTCTACAGGAGGAGTATTCCAAAGTAGTCAAAAAGTAGTCTGGGGACGATTTCTGTACTATGTTTGGCCATTTGGGGGTATTCTTTTTGCTATTTTTAATTTTTCGTCGAAAGCCGGCCTGTAGGGGGACAGGCCTGGCTTAAGCCTATAGGCCACCAAGCAATGTTCTAGGAACCTGTTTCTACGAAAAGTTCCCTGAACATTTCCAGCTGGGGCTGTCGTGTTTTAAGCACATCGGGTGTATGTTCTAAGAACATTGTTGTTGTTATTGTTTTTTTATTCCAAGAACATGTCGTGGTAGGCCTATAGAAATGCCGGGACGGTCGGTCCCTGCTCAAGATGCATCGCCGACGTCACAGTCACATTGGCGATGTGCCGCCGATGCTTCGCGATGCGGCGCGATCTTGCGACCCCATCTGTTGGCATCTGTTCGGGCCCCGCCTCCAGGATACCCCCAAGTGAGAGGCAACGCTGGCTGCTGTTCGGACGGTTCGACTGCCTCGTGGTCGACAGCAGTCGGTCGTCTCGGTTCGGTCGGTTGCTGCGCCGCTGCGTCCTTCCTGGCGAGAGAGGGAGTGGAATCCATAGAAATACACACATACCTATACATGTATATATATATATATATAGATATATATATATATACATACATATCTATATATATGTACACAGATCTATACACCTGTGCATATATACCTACACATGTACATCTAGAACGAGATAGACAAGGAGAGAGGAGAGAGAGAGAGAGAGAGAGAGAAATAACGAGAGAGATAGAGAGAGAGGGCCCAATGTAGCTGAACACGACATCCCCGTAACTCTGGGCCACGTGACGCGGGAGGCTGTGCAATCAGATTGGGGCCTCCCGCAAGTCGTTTCCGTGCCCCTTTTGTCGTTGTTCGTACTTGTGACGGACATGGTCCTCAGACCGTCACTGGCGAGAGGGAGAGGGAGAGAGAGAGAGAGAGAAAGAGAGAGAGAGAGGGAGAGAGAGAGAGAGAGAGATAGAGAGAGAAACAGAAAAACAAGAGAGCATGGGAAAGTCTGGGCGTTGGATGGTCTCTGGCTGGCTGGTGTGGCCTTGGCCGATGGCATCCTCCTCACTGGCTCGTCAATCTGCGAGATTCAGCCAACGCTAGGGGTTAGAGTGCAGGTTTTTGCGCGGGCCGGCCTGGGTATCGGCGCGAAGAAAGTGGAATTCGTGGCAACTTGCGCCGATGATGAAATTGCGAGTGCATTGGGAAGTGATGTCGTGGTCTCCGCGCGTTGTTTTCGTTGGCAATGGCCTGTCCGGCGGCAGCGGTGCCACAATGAGGTGCCGCATGGAGGAGGCAAGAAAGCGTGCTCACTGGCGGAAGAAAGTTTTACATTGCCCATTTCGGTCGGTGAGAGGGAGTTTTGTCTTCGTTTCTCAATTTATGATGTCTTCCAAGCTGTGGCCAGCGGAAGTTTGGGTACCCACGAAGGCCCAGACGAGGACTCCCCATTCATGGACCAAACGCAAATTAGCTAATGAGGCAAGCGTCCGCCAAGCACCAAATCAGGATATCGTACCTGTCTGGAGGAGAACGTATTGTCGTGAATAACAGCTCCTGGGACACACCGGGGGCGAAGCAACGGGCGAAGCGATTGCGGTTGCATTGATTTGCAGGACACCTGGCACGCATGAGTGGCATCCGTTACGCTGCCTTGCGCACGCGGTGTCTTGTCTGGTGGAGATCCCGGCAGCAGCACACCATTACAGCAAGCGTTGCAAGGTCCACCCGGCCAAGTTTGAAGGTTCGGCGATGGGGGTCGCAATTAACCACCGTTGATGGCGAGGTCGAGTGCGAGGAGCCATTCCGCAATGTTGGATGGATGATGCGCGTTCAAGGCAAACCAACGGCGAAGTTCCGGAAACATTGTTGCCGAGAGTTGAGTGTTTCAGGTCCTTGTCTCCAGTTTCCATTTTATGAAAAAATACGAACCATGCCGAATACCGATCGATGAAGCATTGTGTGGTAGCCCGGCTCAACTGGATTTCTCTAAGCTCTGCTATGAAAGCGCTTGTTTGCGGTGAAACCGTGCCGTTCAAGATGCCCAGAAACCGGAGGGAACAAGGAGGACAGAGCAGGAAGAGCACTGCCGCTTGAAATTTCAAAGAAGAAAATGCCGTGGATAGAAATGTGTCGCCTCATACTCAGAGGAGCCAAGTTGAACTCACAGAGCGCTGTTTCGTCTGTCAAGGACAATTGGTCAAGAAGTTCAAGTTGGAGGTCAGCGATCAGTATCAGGACTGTGTCTGTGGGGTGGCTCGATGAAAGATATCACCTGGCACTTGTAAAGGCGAACCATGCCCTGGGTAGTGCAGAAGCGACCAGTCCAGAGCAGCGCCTTCAATTTCCATGGTGCTGTTGCAGACAGCTTCTGGGCAGCCGAGAACACGGATGGGATCGAACAGGACACCCAATATATTGAATTTGTTCCCGTAAGGGCGGAGTTTGTCTAAGATGTGTGTGCTGTCGTCCGCGGGCTCGAAGACCACTTGGTTAGCTGCCCCCACGTGCGAAACGATGTTTGACCTGTGTGGCACGTTTGAAGAAATATGTGTTGTGTGACGTACCATGGAACACTTGCCAACAAGTCGAATCATCAGCAAAAGCACATTATTCGAAGCCTGTGCTCGAAACCGACTGTCGGGCATCTGCATAACATACAGTCCAGAAGGGTGGACCGAGACTTGTGCCCTGGAACACCATGTCCTCCAGCACGACGGGGTCCGAGATCACGCAATCTACGCATACTCTGGCCGCGCGGGGCCACGTGGCCATGACATCGACGAGCTTCTCAGGGATCCCAGCCGCCTTCAGTTATGAAATATGCCTCGCAGATCGTACCCTGCGAACGGCGCCGGACACGTCTGAGCAGCAGATGGCCACCCACCGCCCATTGCCTACAGCCCAACCCCAGTGGCAAATTGCAGACGCAATGGCGTCACGAAAGCCGCTAACGCGGTGGTACGCGAACTGGTGGCAACCATTCGCTTGCGCAGCTTCGAAAAATGGCAACAGCATGTTGGCGAATATCCTTTTCCACTGCCTTGCTGATATGTGAACTTAGATGTTTACCACGGAAATTTGTAGCTTTCAACCGGGCCTTGCGCTTGAAGAAGGGAAAAAATTAATGGATCTTCCATGGTGTAGGCCAGGCGCAATGCTGTAAAATAGCCCGGGCAAGTGGGCGGCCAATTCTTCGGCGCATCTCTTCAAGAGGCGTGCCGGTGCGCAGCATCGGGGCCAGTGCCAGAATCTTAAGGAAATATCGATGAATTCGCAAGGTACCAGGCCGTCGAACAGGAACACAATCTGCCATGATTTGGCCCATGGGCGCGGAGATCTCCGAGAAATCGCTCTTCCGAGCGACTTGGAGGCCAAGCTCTTCTCTTGAGGTGGTTGCGAACAGGTCAGCTGTGTCTTTTGGCTCCAACGCCCAAGCGCCAGCCGTAGACATCAACGGCGGCATAGACACGTGTAAATTGCCAGCCCGGAACATCAGGGAGTCACATAAATATTTCCATGTCTTGCAAGTAAGGTGCGTTTGCAGAATGCGTTGTCGAGTGCGAATGGCGTGCTATTGATAGTCGTGCAATTATCCAGCTGAGCAAGCTCTGGCCGCTCATCGTACTCTGGCGCACCATGGGCGCGGAATCTCTCGTCAATGAGCTTGAAACAACGTTCATTGAGCCACGGGTGTGTGGACTTCCGTGTGCAAGTTGTGAATTTATGATTGTGCTCTTCTGGCCGTGCGCAGAAGGACAGCCGCAAACTTCTCTGCCGCAAAGGGCGGGTCGCAGTTCGAGAAGAAACCTCGCCAATCGACGTCTCGGAGAGCCGTGCGGAGCCTATGCCAGCCAGCCTGCCTGAATAACCATTGCTCCCAGACAATAGGAGCAGCGCGAGAAACGTGCGTGTCAATCGTCGCGCGTAAAATGTTTTGATCAACGATCGGAGGAAGAACTATGCACGCCACTACCGACGTGAAGGGTGAAATCACAAAGTCGAGCAAGTATTTACCCCGCGTGGGCTTGCCCACTTTGTCCAGCAGGCCAATGTTCGAGCATACTTCGAATAACCCTTTACCTTCTCGAGAGGTGCCGCCAGAAAAATGAAGCCAAGGCTCGCGGTGAACGCTGATATCACCGATAAGCAGAGTGCCAACTGCAAGACCATTGTGTTGATGCCACTCCAGGTCGAAAGACTTTTTAGAAGCGATCTCTCCCGAGTCTGGTGAGAGATGCCAGAGAGCAAGAAGAAGAAACCTGTGACCAGTGTGAACAAGGCGCCAAGATCGTTCACTATCATCATAATTCGCTATATGAACAATGCTAGTTGAAAACTAATCTTTGGCGAATAGAAGAATGCCACCACCTTGTCGACCGTCGCGCCGGTCCAGCCTGGAGGTAACAGCATAGCCCGGCAAGGAGGGGTGCACGACACTCTGATTCAGCCACGTCTCGCTTATAGCGACCATGCGCGGGAAGCAAGACAGGAGAGGCGATGATAGAGTTAAGCATGGTGCGTCAAGTAAACGCGCAAATGCGCGACCAGGGTGGAGACATGCATGTCGCCGCCCGGCGACTCTTGCTGGGATTTCCGCGAGTTGTGGCCGGGAGGGCGTCGACGGCCAGAAGAACATAGCCATGTGTGTCGCCGAAAGTGTAAATTATGAACAGGGCGGGGGCCACGGCGACGGAGACGCCGGGACGTCGACGGTTGGGGCCGCTCATTTGCCGCAGAGCGGCGGGCGGGCCGGTGAACGTGGACAGACTTGAGTGTTTCAGGTCCTTGTCTCCCGCTCCCATCCGTTATGTTCCTGCGTGCCGTTTGTTCCGTCCGTCGTCGTTTTGTTTTTGCTGTTCCCCTCTTTCGTTCGATGTCCTGCCTCCTCGTCGTTGCCTTCTTCCTTGTGTCGTGTCGCCGTGTTTTCTCTTTCCTGTTGCCGTTTGCTTGCTTTCTCCTGCCGTTGGTGTTGTTGTCTCCATATTCCCCTGAGCGTTTTTGACACCGATTTCGGAGTTTGACAGAAAACATGATCACATCTGTGGTGGTTGTCTTCGTGGGGTTTTCGTATCCTGTGAACCATATACCTATAGATGGAGAGAGGGAGGGAGAGAGAGTGAGAGAGACAAAACAAACAGAGAGAGAGAGAGGTAGAGAGAGAGAGATTGCGAAATGGAGAGACACAAGCAGGGGGGAGAGAGAGAAAGAGGGAGAGAGAGACAGCAAGGCAAATATACAGAGATGGAGGAGGAAACGGTGACCTCGACACGCATGTATAGGCGGGTGTGAATTATAAAAATACACCCGTATACGGAGAAGAGCAGGTGTAGGCACAACTAGAGATGCACTCAATGATAATGCTAAAACAGGAAGCGCATACAATCAACATATCTCTAGGAGTGTATATATATATATAAACACAGTCCGCGAGCGAGGGCACGAACAAAAGCACGTGATCGTGTAAGCGACCCAGCGAATGCGAGCCAGTAGCGAATTTATCCGCGGGGGATCTGTTGAGGCGATTGGGATAGCGATTGGCACTGATGCTGGACGGATGCTTATGTGATTGCGCGGTTGGTGGGCGAGCGGCCGTATGTTTTGTCGTTCGCAGCAAACTTGGGGGAGCAATGACGGATTGGCTGAGGTTTCTGATATCTATATGAGCCCAACGGCCGTTTCCAAAGTTTGTTTCTGATGTATGTTTCGAGACCCTATTGTGTTGCGAAAACGAAACTCACACAATTGACACGGCGCAACTCAACGCCAGGGCGCAATATCTCCATGTCGCGTGAATCGTGTTGAAAACACGTTTTGTTGTTGACAAACAGGGCTGGGTGGCGATGATATGCGGCTTCGGAGTTGTAGGGCCGAACCAGTTGTCATTTCATCGGGTTCGCATCGGCGTATTACTTCTATGTGTGCGCGCGCTGCTTCTTGTGGTCCGTTGGACACGTTATTCGCTGAAGAAGTTATGTACACGCAGTGTTCGGATTGCGCAGCTTCGTCCGCAGCCTGGCTTGGCATTGGCACTCGCACTCTGGGTTTTGGCTTTGGTATATCAACTTCCATTCCCATTCTCTGTAGACTGTAGGACGTGAGAGCAGTGCTCCAGACTGGCGCTTCGCATGTATCCCGCCGCGCAGGGTGTCACCTACGAGTTGGTGGTAAAGACATTGGAGCCGGAACCACAGCTGGCGCTGCTGGACACCGACCTCACAGTAGAGGTGTTGCCCAGCGAGCGGACGGCTTAGAATAGTGCCGAACTCCGCGATCGCAGGTTGCGCAGGGTGTGTTCTGACAGCGGCGACTGCAGCACAGAAGCCGGATGCCCCCCAAAGTTTCTTCCCCCTCACCCTAAACTCATGTCATTCCCCTTTTACCCTTCCTTCTCCCCCGGGGGTCTCCAGGAGCCACAACAACTCCAGAAACCAAAACCGAACTCCTGGAAGTTCCTTCTCGTGGTCCTCGTCCCTAATCCTCTTCTCATCTCTTCCACCTCCCTTCCCCCTCCGCCCCCCCTTCTGACATCCTTCCCTTCTCCTTTCTCCTCCTTCCCCCCTGGCTCTCTCTCTCTCTCTCTCTCTCTCTGCTACGCGCTTGCTCGGAAGAGAAGTTTTCCGCGGTGTCCACAACAGTGTCCCGCAAGCGGGAAGGGGGAGGAGCAAGGCGACAGCAATGGAGTCAGAGGCCGCAGCGACCCTTGGACACCAGGGCGATGTCGATCCGATCGATACGCGTAGACGTCGATTCCAGCCAGCTCGATCCAAATCAATTCCGACTACGTGCCGATGCGATGTAACGCGGTTTCCGTTTCGGTCCGATGTCCCGATGCGGTGTTGATTGATCGTGCCTTCTTTGTCCTCTTCCTCCTCCTCCTCCTCCTCCTCCTCCTCCATTTCTGCTCCTGTGCGGCGCCTAGGAGGCCTTCTTGGCAGCCTCCGGACCCATCTGGAATGGCCCCTGCCTTCTGAGAAGCCCCCCCAACCTCTCAGAATCACGGGGTGAAGCCCCCACACGGCTTCCGCGCGTCCGGGCAGAAGTCGAGCCGTGCCGCGCGCCTCCTCGTCGAGCAGCCCGGCCGCTGCGGGCCACCCCACGGAGCAGTCCGGCCTCGTTTGGTCCCCGCTTGGTGGCGAGGGTGGTCACAAGCGAGGTCGGCTCGTCTGCCTTCTGCAGAAGGCCCCCCCCGTCCTTCGACCCAGGGGGGGGGGGCGGGCCGTCGTGCCCGCCGGGCGCCGCCCCCGGGCCCGGCCGAGGCAGAGAGAGGCGGAGCCGAGAGCAGGGGGGAGGAGCCGCCGCCTGGGGAGGCCTCCTCGGAGGCCTCCGAGGAGCCCTCCTGGAGAGGCCCTGGCCTTCTGAAAGGCTGGCCCGCCTTCCCTGACCTTCCAGAGTGCTAAAACAATAGCACTCCAGACCTATAGATCTATCTGGATGGCCTCAAGCCTCGACAGGAATCAGGACGTCGACGTCCTGGTGCTATTTTTTAGCCCTCCTGGAAGGTCAGGGTTCTTGCCAGCCCCCCCCCCCCTCGCGCTGCCCCCCCCCCTCCCCACCTCCGACTTGGAGCCGTGCGCGGGCCCGGCCGAGGCACACGGAGGCGGAGCTGAGAGCTGAGGAGGAGCCGCCCGCGGCTGGCGAGGAGGAGGGGTTCGAGGGAGGAGGAGGGGGGCGAGGGCGAGGGAGGAGGAGGAGGAGGAGGAGGAGGAGGAGGAGGAGGAGGAGGAGGAGGAGGAGGGAGGAGGGAGGAGGAGGAGGAGGACGGGAGGAGGAGGGAGGAGGAGGAGGAGGAGGAGGAGGAGGAGGAGGAGGAGGAGGAGGAGGAGGAGAGGAGGAGGAGGAGGAGGAGGAGGAGAGGAGGAGGAGGAGGAGGAGGAGGAGGAGGAGGAGGAGGAAAGGAGAGTGACCTTTCGCGGGAGTGGCTTTTGATGCGGGCCCAAGGGGCTCCCCCGATCGCCGCACGCAAAGACGTAGCAGCGGCCTGCCCGCCCAAGTTTGGCCACCCCGCGTGCCCCCGGTAAGCCGCTGGCGCAAGAAAACAAGATCCAGTTCAAGAGGTCAGACTGTGCGACCTGACTTCATCGAGCCAGCACAAGAGATGCCACAGCAAGATTGGGTCTAGGGCTCGGCGGATCTGAAGGGTCATGGGCCAGTGCTTTCTGACGCATTTGGCCAATGGTTGGCCTCCAGGGGTCTCTCGGAACTCATGTGGACCTACAGAGATCTCCAGAGGCCTCAGGACGGGGTGGGTGAGCAGGAGGAGAAGGAGGATGACTGGGGAAACCCAAGATTCGAAGAAGCAAAACCGGCATGACATAAACTTTTGGCGCTCCGCGCGGATTTCTTGGATCCGCGTTTGGCCTCCCCGTGCGGTGCCTCCGGCGCCGCCTTCGGCGCGCTCCGCGCGCCAGGGAGGGGGGTCCGGGTCCAGGGAGGGGGGCCCATCGCGGATCCAAGAAATCTTCGCGGAGCGCCAACAGCTTATGTTTATGGCCTCAATTTTCTTCTAGAGAGGATGACTGGGTAAGCCCAGGATGTACAGACGATGCTGCAATGCACTGCCCAGTCCCAAGAGCACTCCTCGAGTCCCTGCAGGCATTCTGCCTCCTTGCGCGAAGTCCCTCCCCCCCAAGGAAAGACGAGCGCCCCAGAGGCCCGCAGAAGTCGTACAAAGAGGCCCGCTCTTCAGGGTGGCACCCCCGCCGTTCGAGCTGCAGGGGCTGCGACAGCGAAGGGTGGCATCGTTTGAGGAAGAGCCTAGCGTTATGGTGCTCCAACCTACTTTAGCCCTGATCACCAGAAAGAATTTCGAGCGCCCAAAGAAGTACTGAAACTCAAGGGTTTTCACTTGTCGGGCCCTGGGAGACACTCGCCCGACACTGTTTCGACACTATTTCGACACTCTTTTGGCACTTTTCCGGGTGCTCGAAATTACGTAGCACCCCGCAATTGCGGATAAGAGCGAGGGGGCGGGCGCGGGCGACGCGGGCGCCGAGCCGGCGGACTTCGTGGCCCTCACCTTCTCTGTCGATGGCGCCCTCCTCCTCCTCCTCCTCCTCCTCCTCCTGCTCCTCCGTCTCCTCCTCTTCCTCGTCCGCGTCCTCGTCCTCATCATCGTCGTCGTCGTCCGCCGCCTCCTCCACCTCCTCCTCTTCCTCTTTTTCCTCCTCCACCTCCTCCTCTTCCTTCCCCATCCCGATCCTCCCCCCTCCTCCTTTCCGTCCTGCTCCACCTGGCGGATGGGTCGCGGGTGGGTCGCGGGCTCTCCACCTCCACTTGGAAGGAATTCAAGTACAGCCCGCCGCAGGCGCCTAACATTTTGATTTGTACACTGGACGCGTTTTGGGTCGCAGGTTCTCCACCTGGAACGAATGCAAAAGAAACCCGCCGCAGGCGCCGAAGTATTGGCTTGTTCAGTGAACGTAGTTTGGTTCGCGGGTGGATCGCGGGCTCTCCACCTCCACCTGGAAGGAATTCAAAAACAGCCCGCCGCAGCCGCCGAAAATTTTGATTTGTACACTGAGCGCGGTTTGGGTCGCGGGTGGGTCGCAGGTTCTCCATTTGGAACGAATACAAAAGAAGCCCGCCGCAGGCGCCGACCATTTGGGTGGGTCGCCGGGTGGGTCGCGGGTGGGTCGCGTGTGTGTGGCGGTGGGTCGCGGGTGGGTCGCGGGCGCGGTTTGGGTCGCGGGTGGGTCGCAGGTTCTCCACCTGGAACGAATGCAAAAGAAACCCGCCGCAGGCGCCAAAAATTTTCGGGTGGGTCGCGGGGTGGGTCGCGGTGGGTCGCGGGGTGGGTCGCGGGTGGGTCGCGGTGGGTCGCGGTGGGTCGCGGGTGGGTCGCGGGTGGGTCGCGGGTGGGTGGGTCGCCGGTGGGTCGGTCGCCAGGGGGGGTCTCGGGTGGGTCGCGGGCGGGTCGCGGGGCAGGTCGCGGGGTCGCGGGTGGGTCGCGGGTGGGTCGCGGGTGGGTCGCGCGTGGGTCGCGGGTGGGTCGGGGGGGACGACGACAAACAAGCAGCAAACAACAACAACAACAACAAAACAACAACAACAACAACAACAACAACAACAACAACAACAACAACAACAACAACAACAACAACAATTACTAGCACGTGGGGACACTCCGTTCTCACCAGTGCCAGGGTTTTCATACGACGCCCGCCAATACCCCCACTTTGTGGGGGGGCCGGTTCAAGCTCTACCACATTTCCAAACGACTCTTCGCCACCACCCACACCCAGCTTCCCGCCCTATGACGTTCGGACACTTCACTTCGTGGCCTGCGGACGACCGTGGCTACTACACTGGCGCATGGGTACAGTGACTTGTTGTGGTAACATTTTCTGGACGCTAGCTTAGTATACGACTTTTCCCCCTGTTCCAACACTGGACACCTGTGGTTCTTGAAGATTTCGGCGTGCGCGCGCGAAGAAAAAACGAATGTGTCCCGCATGGTATTATTTGACAGGGATGATGGCCCTGGCAGGTGCGCAACCGTTGTTGGAGAAGTTCGAAGCACGTGAAAAAGTTGCTCGCAAAAACCCGTTTGACAGAAATGTTTAAAAAAGTGTTGGGTTTCCTACAAATCCGCAAGAACGCGCGGGATGAAATTTTTTTTTTTTTTTTTTTTTTTGAAAAACCATTGTTTTTTTATGTTTTTATGTTAAAATCGCTACGAAGACTAAGGTTTTGGAAGGATTTCGTCTTGCGCGCGCGAATGTCCACTTTACCTTTTTTTTGCAAGGGATTCTTGAAGTTTGGTTATGTTAGAACAAGAAATGTCCACTTTGCCTTTTTTTCTGCAAGGGAAAACCGCCCGTAACAAAACAACCGGATCCGGACCAACCCGTTTTGCCGGAGACTTCCTCACGAAAATGATGAAAACATGGCTGCGGCCTAGGCGCGGCGAGGGGGCCGCGCACCAGGGGCCCCAACAATAATTATTCTTTAGAAGTAATAATGTTCAACCACCACCACCACCACCACCACCACCACCACCACCACCACCACCACAACAACAGCAACAACAACAACAACAACAACGACAGCAGCAACAACAACAACAACAACGACAACACCAACAACAACAACAACAAGAACAACAACAAACATCCGCATCCCAGAATTCCATTTCAGCCACGCACCCAGGGACAGTGAATGACCGTTCGGTTCAGCCCCCTCACTCTGATTTCTCGGATGTGGTCCTTAAGTAGGATGGGAACAACATAAGCCTAGCGAGCGCCCCGTTTCGAAAAGGAAGCCCTCATCCATCCGTGAAAGCTGCTGCACGGTCTTGTCTTGTTGCGGCGAGTCCGAGCGACGTCTCGAGCGAGACTTCATTGTGGAAATAAGCCGCCCTCACTCCGTTGTAGCTGCAGCGCGAGCTAGTACTTGCGGTGATCAGCTGTGGGGAAGTCCCGGACGAGAGCCCATTGTCGAAAGGAGCCGCCCTCCATCGGTGCAGTCGTTGGAGATGTTTGAGACGAGGATGCGCGGCGCCACGGCGACAGCCCAACCAGAAAACGGTTCGCCTTCCATCGGTGTAATTGTTGTAATTGTTTATGTCGGATGTGTGTGTGTGGCGCCAAGGCGACAGTCCCATTGTAAAAGCGATTCTCCTTCCAGCTGTGCAGTTGCGGGGTACAGGGGCGAGATGAAGTTGCCACAGCGAAAGCCTCTCCTTCTGAAGACGGCCCGCCTTCCGTCCGTGCAACTGTTGGACTTGCGAATGTCTTGCGCGTGCGATGGCAGGGCGAGAGTTTTTTTTTGAAAACGGTTCGCCCTCCATCCGTGCACAGTCAACCCGCATAGTAAGGATGGGCAGCCTTCCCAAGGGTACCCCTTACGTCCTTGCCTCCTCGGTCCATCCCTGGCCACTTTCGCTGGCCGCGCCCCGCTCGAAAAGCTTGAAGACGGCCCTCCAAGGCCCTTGCATCCTTCTCGTGCGTCCTCACGATGCGGGTCGACTGCACCTGCCGGAAGTCTTTGCGGAGGAATGCGTGTTGGGCGCCAAGGCGATAGCCTTTAAGTCGGGCCTGTCCCTCTACAGGGGGAGTGTTGACACCTAGTCCAAGCATGATCTGGGGACGACATCCGTGATGATTTGGGAGTATGTGTTGGCTATTTTATATTTGTATTTAAAATGTCCCCAGTGCGACCCTACCTAGAAGTTGGAGCCCCTAGGAAAGCAGCATGCGTTGCTATGCTATGCCATGTCATGCCATGCTATGCTGCGCTATGCTATGCTATGCTATGCTATGCTGCGCTATGCTATGCTATGCTACGCCATGCTAAGCTATGCTAAGCTATGCTATGTCATGCTGCGCTGTGCTATGCTAAGCTATGCTATGCTATGCTATGCTGAGCTGCGCTATGCTATGCTATACTATGCTATGGTATGATATGCTGCGCTATGATGCGCTATGCTATGCTATGCTATGCTATGCTTGGCTATGGTATGCTATGATATGCTAATGCAGCGCTGCGCTATGCTAAGCTAAGCTAAGCTAAGCTAAGTTAAGCTAACCCTCTAAGCAGAGCCTAGGTAGGGAATTACACCCATGCTATGATATGCGATGCTGCGCTATGCTATGCTACGCTATGCTATGCTGTGCTCTGCTATGCTAAAGCTCAGCGAAGCTAAGATGAAGGTAAGTTAAGCTAATATACAACTGAGGTAAGATGCAGCTAAGCTAAGGTAAGATGACATAAGCTAAGCTAAGATGAGATAAGCAACGCGAAGCTAAGGGACCGTCACTGGGGGAACCGCGGGGCGGATACTGGGGGAACCGCCCGGGGCGCGTTCCACTGCCCGGCCCTTTAAGCTACCGAGTAAGAACCTTTCTATGCAGAGCCTAGGTCGGGAAGAAAGGAACGATTGATGGCAGGGCTCTTAAGAGCTGACCCTCAGGTCACCATCAGTCAAATGTTTCTTTCTCAATTAAAAAATATTCAATTGGAAGACAGGAATTGCTGTAAGAAAGGAAATTGGAGACTTCACGAAGAACTTAAAGAGAAACTGTAAACAAGGAAAAGTAATGGGCTATGGCCCCTCTGCGGAAACGGTCTGCCCCGTCGCCCGTGCAGGCGGCGGAGGTGCTCCCCGGGCGAGCGCGCGCGGCGCCCCCAAAGGCCAGAGCACCACGGGTGAACAAAAAGTGCGGCTCGCTGGCTGTCTTGTGGACACTGTGCTGTCGTTGGCACTCTCTGGTTTTAGCTGTCTTGTGGACATCGTGCTGTTGGTGCCGCGTCGTTGACGCTGCGATGCGTCGCGTGTAGCAACATGCTGCGGTGTTCGCGCAGAGTTGACATTACGTTGGTTGCACGTGTCGACGCTGCACTATTGACAGTACGTAGCTCGCTGGTGCTCCGTCCGTGCAGGTTGTTGCAGGGATTCTCCAGGACGGGCGCGCGCGGCGCCAAAGGCGACACGGGCCCTCGTGTCACCAGCCTCGAGCTTATCCCGATCCCTAAGATTGACACGCCAAGAGGCGATGGCAATCTCAGGGATGCGCCCCGAAAAACGAAGGGAATCCCTAAGATTGGCATTGTGACGAGGCGATGCCCAGCTTAGGGATAGGGATCTGTCCCAGGCTGGTAATGGTTCGACGACTCGGAGGTGGACAGACCTCCTGCCCTGACGCGTCGATTGAGGAGTTGGCCGTGTTCGGTGCGCGAGAGGGCGTCGCGGCCGTCACTTCTGCGGGTCCTGGTGCGTCGGTTTCGGTCCTGGGCCGTTTTCACTAAGGGTAGGTTTACTAAAGGGAGGTTTGTCCACCTCCGAAAAACGGCCCGCCCTCCATGCTTGCTTCGAGCCCCAGACTTCCAGATCGCAAGCGGTGCGTGAGGGTCAGGCTGAGCGCCTGGGCCCGCCTCAGCGGCACGTCTGGCGGTGCTGTGCCGAGGAGGTGCATCGAAGAAGGGCGGATTTAAAGAGACGGAGGAGGAGGCGAGAAGGAAGAGGGGGAGGAGGAGGGGCCCCAGAAACGTCTCAGAAACTTCCCACCGTTCGTTCTCACCATCTCTCTTAGCTGGTCCACCTGCGCGCCAGCGGGAGGAAGGGAGGAGGAGGAGGAGGGCGGGTCGAGGGCCGAGTTTCGTGGGCGTTGCCTGGCCGCGTGGCGCCATCCCATGGCGCCCTTTGTCGGCATGCCTGGGTTGCCCCCGAAGTTTTCTGCCGCAGCGGACCCCAGGACGGGTCCGCAGGCCGCTGTTCAGGACCGGGGGCAGGCGGGCGAGCAGGAGCGAGCGAGGCCTCGGAAGCGGAAGGCGATGCCTCCTGCTCCCGGAGGCCTCCCAGGCAGGGCCCCGGCTTGGAGCGCTGCTTTCCGGCGATCTCGGGGGCCGGTTTCGTGTTTTGGCGCCGCCTCGCGCAGCAGGGGCAGAACGCAGACAGAGGGACAGAACACGACACCAGAAGGACAACGAAGAGCACGGTTCCGCCCGAGTTCTGCTCCAGGAGCCCCTCGATGGGGCTCGCCGGGAGGGTCCAAGACCCGCCTGGCCGAGGGCTGCGAAGACCGCGGCCGAGGTGTCGCCAGCTACGGCTTCCGAGGGGCCCGCTTCCAGCCCCAGGACCGTCAGCCCCCCAAACATGGCCCTGGACGAAGCAACAGGCAGGAGGCACAGGCCTGGAGGCTGTGCATTTCTAATTTTTCGAAGGTTCTTTTGGGGTGGGGGGGCCAAGATCCCTTCATTCCTACTTGTTCTCTCCGGGGCCTCTTCCTGGCCACCAGGGGGCCAGGAACCGTCAGAAACGAGCACGATTAGAAGTGAGCACGATGAGAAATGAGCGACGTGTAGAGGTTGACACCAACACCAATAGCGGCGGTGTGCCCCCACCGAGGGCAGAAGATCCCGACCTCGGTGATGGTGGTCATAGTCTGGCTTCCGAGGTGGCAGAAAATTTTGACCACCAGCACCATATAATGTAGGAGCATCTCCCCCCTGTGGAAGCAAACCCCCCTGTGTTGGTGCTGGTGCCTATTTCCCAGGCCTCCAAGGGAGGGAGGGCCGGGAGCCTGTTCCGCCCCTGCCCGCGTACCCTCGGCCAGACCAGCCTGCCCATCGGGGCGGTGGGCGGGAATCGCGTCCCCAGGGAGTGCCGTTTTCGTCCCCATCAGAGGAGCATGGGCGACCTTTCGATTGCGAATGGGTGACCGACCGGCGGCGCCAGGCAAAGTAGACGATGTTCGAGGCAAAGTGTACCCCCCGCGAAGGCTGTTAGAAATCCCGGAATCCCCAGAACGTATCAATAGCACGTTGTGCCAATCTATTTTTCTCGTCCTAACACAAGCCCCGCTCCGCGGTCTTGGGCGAGGGCAGCCTGTGTATGGGGGCCGTGCGCAAGAGTCGCGCCCCCGGGAAGGACGGGAGGGCGGAGTGGGTTTGCTCCCCTGGATCTCGGGCGCAGCGATGGTTTCCTTTGCATAGGGGACACAGGGCCTCTCGCCTCAGTGTTCTTGCCCCATAGTCAAAAGGGGCTCGATCGTTCCTTAGGTTCGCATGCTTTATGTATCGTTCCCTATGCGTTATTCCTTGGAAATAATGGGCTTCGTTCCTTATTTATCGTTTCTTAGGTCAGGCCGATGACTGTATCCGATAACAGTTTAGGTATCTCACGATGCCTGAAATTGCTGTCCTTTCGGCTCCTGAGGAGCGGCTCGGGAATACGCGAGGGTCCCCGCACCAGAAACAAGTAATGCTCGTCGCAAAGTTCTGCCTCTTCGTCCACGGGCCAGTGAGGCGAGGAGGAGTAAGAGGAGGAGGATCGAGGTGTTTGGACGTTGGATTTTCCGGGGGGCCTCCAGGGGCTTCTTGGGAGGGGGAGGAGGAGGAGGAGGAGGAGGACGAGGAGGAGGAGGAGGAGGAGGAGGAGGAGGAGGAGAGGGAAGGATAAGGGTGTGAAGTAAGTCTTGAAAACGGTGTTTTAAGTTGGATTTGATCTGGAAAGCCCACTGTCGATTCGGGTTCAGAGGAGGCTGCCTGGAAGAGATCCCCCGCCCCCGTTGCCCGTTGCCCTGACCCCCATCGGGATCATGCCTGAAATTTCAGTCAGCAATTCTGGCCACATCCTCTTTCCGTTACCATGTGTAATCAAAGAATCAAGCCATTCGAGTAGCTATGAGTTACCATTCCAGCCACCAGTTTTTCATCTTGCAATGGGTCTGAGGAGGTGGGCGGAGAAAGATCATTGTTGTCAATGTTACTCGCATGGCGTGAGCAATGCTCAGCCCTGCTTGACGATGAGCGGTCGAGGCGGTTCATACTCTATAGCACTGGGTTCGTATCACTCGTCACGTTCAGCTGCTACGTAGAGGAATGGATCTTCAAGGCCCTGCCAGGATTCAAGTTTCCATGGATGGTGGCTTTCGTGGAGCTCTTCGTGTTTTCGTGCTGGGCTGGCGCGCACCAGCGATGGGTGGACGGCAGCTGGTCGATACTCTGGCGGCGGCGGGCCCCGCTGCGGCTGTATGCCGCGTTCGCCGTGTGCCTGGCGCTGTCGCAGTCTCTGGGCAAGGTGACCTTCTTATGCCGGGGAAGCGTAGGGCTCGCGTGAGCCGGAGCTCGGGCTTGCGCAAGTGTTTGGGGCTCAAGAGATCAGGACGGGGGTCATGGGGTCAGCCAGAGCGCTGGATCCTGCAGGATCCTTCAGTCACCACCTACCAGACCACCCCAACCCAACCCGAAGGCCTCAATTTGCCCTCCATTTCCAGTGTGGGGGGGTCGGGGAACGTCGAAAAAACACATGGAACCCGTACCCCCCCCAACCCGAAATTCGGGTCAAAATCGGGTCTTCGGGTTGGGTTGGGGTGGTCTGGTAGGTAGTCACTCAGGGGCAGCCAGAACGCTGGATCTTGCAGGATCCTACAGGGCCAGGGCTGCATTGACCCGGGTCTGGGCGCAGGATCCTGCAGGGTTTTGCAGGATCTTTCGCATTGACCTGGGCTTGAGTGCAGGAACTTGCAGGATCTTGCGGGATTCTGCAAGGTTTGATGGACCCGGGTCTGGATTGACCCAGGTCAGAAGACCCCCGAAGTTTTTTTGACGAGCGCGTCCTGGATTTTGACGGTCCAGTTTTTGTGGGATGTCTGCAGCGGGAGCTTGCGTCAAATTTCAGGTTGGGTTTCGTCGTTTTCATGATGGCCTCGTCAGGCCAGCCCGAGTCGCCCGTACCCGAGTTCTACGTCTCCCCGATTATACATGAACTACGCCACAGGTCGAGGAACAAACAAAGGTATAAGCATACCTTTCTTGGGGCTCCGCGCGGATTTCATCGACCTACGCTGGGCCCCCCTGGCGGCGCCTCTGGCGCCGATCCAAGATATTCGTGCGGACCTCTGATAAGTTATGTTTCGGCAGTTTCCTTGTTCCTCTAACAGGTACGATAGTTAAAAGTGGCAAGCTCGTTCCGACACTTATTCTGTCCGTCGTCTGGTTGCGAAGGCCCGTGGCATTCCCTGAGTGGATAGCTGCAGGGCTTCTCGTGCTGTCATCCACTCTGATGGCCTTGGGCGAGCATCTGGTGGATGTAAATTTCCAGCCCTTGGGTCTGGCGATTGCGTTTATCCAGCTGGTAGCTGCTTCGATGCAGGGGAATGTGCAAGAGCGTGTTCTGAAAGATTACGATGCGACAGTCAGCGAAGCCATGCTGTTTGGGAACAGTTTAGGCGCAGTGCTGGTGCTGGTAGCGATGGCTGCCAACGGGGAAATGGCACCAGCTGCATCATTTTTTCTAGACTCTCGGTTTGCATTCTTGCTGCTTCTGGCGAGGTCCGTGACGTTCCTGCTCGGCGCAATCGCCCTCAGCGTGCTGACCAAGGAGTACGGTACTGGAGCTGCCACGGCGGTCGGTACCCTCCGGAAGTCGCTGACGCTGCTCTTCTCCTTCGCCCTGTTTCCGAAGCCCTACCACTTGATCTGATGGGCCGATTCCCCGCCCCCACTACCACAGGTAGGAACGGGAGTATGAGAAGGAGGAAGAGGAGGAGGAGGAGGAGGAGGAGGAGGAACGGGAGCAGGAGGAGGAGGAGGAGGATAAGACGCGACGGCTCAAGCAAGCCAACGTTTGTCCAACGTGAAAGGAGGCGTAGGATGATGATGATGATGATGATGATGATGATGATGATGATGATGATGACGATGACGATGACGATGACGATGATGATGATGATGATGATGATGATGATGATGATGATGATGATGATGATGATGATGATGATGATGATGATGATGATGAGGAGGAGGAGGAGGAGGAGGAGGAGGAGGAGGAGGAAGAGGACCTCCCCCTCCTACCTTCTCCGCCCTCCTATCTCTGGCAGTGGTGGTGGAACAATGGGCCCATCATCAACTACGTGCTCGGGGTGGCCGCCTTCCTTGCGGCGGACGCGACCTACCTGCACGTGGCCGGGCAGAGGGCCGCGCGGCGCCGGAAGGGGCACGCGGCCGAGTACCGGCCCGTGGCGCCTTCCGGCGGCGGCGGCGGCATCGGCCGCTCCTGCGAGCTGCCGGCCCAGGGGCGCCTCGATCCGCAGGGCGGGGAGCTCGAGCCTGCAGCGGAGGCGTGAGCTCCAGAGCGACAGAAGGGCGTGCTCCATGAAGGTAGCGCTAGTCCAGGCACCAAGCGAGATGTACGTGCTAGATGCTCATCCGTGGCGGCACGGCAGGAGTGATTGTTTGAACGCCGTCTGCTGCTAGCGACTCCGTGCAGGGCAGTCGCAAAGGAGGCTGGAAAGACGGCAGTATACGTACATGAATCCACGTCGGTTTCGAGAGTGCGCTTTGCACGAGCCGCCAGCCTCCTCCACTTCCCTCCTCTTCCTCCTCCTCCCTCCTCCTCCTCCTCCTCCTCCTCCTCCTCCTCCTCCTCCTCCTCCTCCTCTCCTCCTCCTCCTCCTCCTCTCCTCCCCCTCCTCCTCCTCCTCCTCCTCCTCCTCCTCCTCCTCCTCCTCCTCCTCCTCCTCCTCCTCCTCCTCCTCCTCCTCCCCGCCAGGAGAGGCGCCTCCGCGAGGAGGAGGCCGCCCGGGAGGCGGAGGACTGCGGCCCTTCTGGGCGGCGGGGGCGGCCCCCGCCGGCGGCCCTCTTCCTTCGAAGCTCCTCCTGGGCCCTCTCGGTGGCCTTCGCCGCGCGGCGGGCCGGAGGCAAAAAAACACACAGACACAATTAATCGTCGATCCAGTGGGGAAGATATAGGATGGGAAAATATGGGAAAATATGGGAAGTGGGGGGGAAGACAAAAACCCAGAAAAGATGGGGAAACATGGGGAATCCTTTTGTTTGTGTGTACTTATTTGTGTGTCCCAGGGCCCCTGCAGGCGGGCCGGTGGTCAGAGGAGGAAAGGGTGCCCAGACCGCTACCCTTGCCCCGGTTTGCCTTCTTAAGGGCCTCCCATGGGAGGCCCTCGTCTCGGGCCGGGCGAAAGGGGGGATTGGGAAAGGGGGGGGGTACGAAATTTGCTGCATGCAGCTGGTTTCGGCCTCACCGAGGGGCCCATTCCTCGATACATATATAGCCGCCTCCGGCGCTGGGAGGCGCCGGGAAAATCAGCTACGTGAGCTGATTCTCCACCCCCCCTTTGCTATCCCCCCCTTTCGCCCGACCCGATCGTCGCCACTACTGGATTCGCCTCGCCATCCTGGTCAGAACGCACCCCGGAAGAGGCCCGGGGAGCAGCGGTGTCGGCACGTCTTGGCTTCCCCGGGTGGCCTCCGGAGGGCGGGCGGCCCGCCGGTGGCCCCGCCACAGGCGCTCGGGGGGGTTAGTCGTTCAAGCAGTAGCTGGCCACGCGCACAAGGGGGTAGGGGGAGGGGGGAAGGCTTCTTAGAAGCACCCCTGCTTCTTAGAAGGCGCGGGCCTTCTGTGTAGATGTAAGGCCGGCGCCTTCTAAAGCGCAGCCTCCTTCTTAAGAAGCCTTCCTCCCTCCCCATACCCCCTTGTGCGCGCCGCCAAAGTAGCGAACCGTCCTGTCGTGCCTATATCGGAGGTGGATAGACCTCCTACCCTGACACGTCGATTAGCGACTTGGCCACATTCGGTTCGCGAGAGGGCATCGCGGCCGTCATTTTTGCGGGTCCAGGTCCGTCGGTTTCGGTCCCGGGCCGTTTTCATTGAAGGGAAGTTTACTAAAGGGAGGTTTGTCCACCGCCGACAGAGGCGCTCGGGGGGGGCAGTCTTTCAAGCAGTGGCGAAGCGTCCCGGCGTGCCTATAGGCCTACCAAACGATGTTCTGACATCCTATCGTGGTTTCCACGAGATGCTCTTAGAACGTTTCTCTGCCTGGGACTCTTGTTTTAGCACAACGGGCTTATGGTCTAAGAACTTTGTTCTTGTTCAGAACATTCTTGGGTTCTAAGAGCACGTCGTGGTAGGCGCATAGGAATGCCGGGACGGTCGGTCCCTGCTCAAGGCTTACGTAGGGCATGCCCTCCTTCTACAGGACGAACATGCAAACATTGTTCGAGAATAGTCTGGGGCCGATTTTCCTGTATTTTTTTGATTCGTGTTGAGTACTTCAATTTTTGGAGGGTTTTTTGTCCAAGCTCCGCCTGTAGGGGGACATGCCCGTCCCAACGCTTAGGGGGGGCCCAGTCTTGGGCGGCGGGCGAGGGCGGGGTCCCCTGGCCCATCGGCCACGCGCAGAGGGGGGGGCAGAGGGGAGGGGGGGAAGGCTTTTCAGAAGGAGGCTGCCTCTTGGAAGGCGCGGGCCTTGCATCTGCGGATGGAAGGCCGGCGCCCATCCTAGAGAAGCAGCCCCCTTCTGAGAATCCTCCCCCGCTCGCCCCTGAGAAGCCAGCCCCTCGTCGCCAGGCCCCCAAGAAGCAGTGGATCCTGGAATCGTCCGCATCTCGCACTCCAAGCTTGCAAGTTTCTTGCACAGGCTTCCAAGCTTCCCTTCAAGCGGCTCCCCGCAGCTCTCACTTCCTGGGAAGCGTTTGCTGCACGCGTTTCAGGCCGCGACTGGGCTGCTAACCCGGGTTTGGGACTACACAAGTGGCCGGGGCCATGATAGATATCTCCCAGATTCCATGGCCCCTCTTTTTATATCAAGACTCAGGAGGGGCAAAAAACACAGACACAATAAACCGTCGACTCTCAGGGATATGGGAAAATGTGGGGGGTGGGGGGGCAGACGAGAACCCAGAACATGTGGGAACATATGGGAAATCCTGGGTGTTGTGCCTATTTTTTGGTGTGTCCCTGGGCCCTTTTCAATACGTCCCCTGGCCCCCCCTCGGCCGCGTGCATGCCTCAGGCTATGCTTTGCGAACCACCCCCCTTGGACGTCCCCCTCTCGGACGCTCCCGATCATCGCCAGCGCCCGCGTAGGCGTCAGCACTGTCGTCGGCCTCGTCGTCGTCGCCGCCGACGCTGTCGGGGTTGTCGTCGGCGTCGTCCTCGTCGCCGGCGTCGTCCAGGGCCTCTGCAGGGAGGCCGAGAACGTGGACGCACTCCACTTCGATCGCCGACGGCGGCGACGACGGCCACGAGGTCGAGGACGAGGGCGGCGATAGCAGCGGCGACGTCGTCCGTCGCCGCCGTCGTCGGGGCTGCCTGCAGGGCCTCGGGGGGCTCAGGGCTGGCCGAGGGCTTCAAATTGCCCCGGGGCCAAGGCACCCTAACAGAAGCAATCTAGGCCTCCTAGATGGGGTCGGAGTAGATGGGGTCGAAGGATCGCGCCGCATCGCCGATGCATCGACGATGCGGCTCGATGTGGAGCCCGTGTTTCCCCACGCCGACGTCGCCGATGCATCGCCGACGTCGCCGATGCATCACCGAAGCATCGCGGATGCATCGGCGATGCATTGGCGATGCGGCGCGACCCTTCGACCCCATCTACTCGGACCTCATTTGGGAGACCTCTAAGCAAAGGTGAGGTGACGGATCGCGGACAGGGGTGGGAGCACGGCCATTTGCACCTGATTGTTGCGGAGGACGATCAATGGAGAGGCAGCGTGTTGCCAAATCGTTTCCAGATGTCTGAAACATGTGTTGGACATGTCTCAAACCTCTTCTTACCCTATATCAGCCAGAGTGTAAACAGGTTTAGAACATCTTCCGACATTGTAAACACTCTAAATTTGTCGAGATCCCACGCGTCCGCAGCCGTTTTGCGGTTCAGGGAAAAACCCTACTCATGGTAGCGGAGCGCGGTTAGCGCTCCACCCAATCTACACCCGCCAGCGGCGATGGCGGGGCTGTTCTGAGTGCGCTGGAAGAGGCTAGCGCTCCGGTGCGTCAGGCGACGCGCTGGCAGGTACGATGAACGAGCAGCAGGTGGTGCAGGCCTTCACAGCGCTTGCCGACACGCTGCGGCAGACGCAGGAAAGGACGAATGAGGCGCTGCGTGCTGTGAGCGCGCAGGTTGGGGAGCAAGGCAACGCTCTTCAGGCCGCGCTCCAGCAGCAGGAGAGGCTCCTGGAGGCCGAGATCGCGGTTCGCAGGAGGCAGGGGATGATCGACACGAAGGCTGTCAAACAGCCTGCACCCTTCTCCGGCAAGGAGGCCGATTGGCCCGGCTGGAGCTACAAGTTCTCTACATGGATCAGCGGGCAGTTCGCTGCCGGCGAGGACGTGCTGGACTGGGCGGCCGGACTCGGCGAGGAGACGGTGACCCAGGAGATGTTGGACGATGTTGATCTTCGGCACCCGGGAGCAGAGGACATCAACAAACAGCTCCACGCGGTGTTGACGAGCCTGACGACGATGGGCACGACAGCGTTCGACATCGTGAAGAACACGAAGAAGAACCAGGGGCTTGACGCCTGGAGGAAGCTCAACCGCAAGTACGACCCGAACAACCCAGTGTCCAACTTGAGGCTGATGCAGAAGATCTTGAGGCCGTCCCAGGTCGGGACGGACCAACTGTTGTCCGCCATCGAGCAGTGGGAACAGGACTACACCCACAGCAAGGACAGGACAGGCGAAGAGTTGTCTGACAGGATGCGGCGCGCATGCCTGCGTAGCATGTGCCCCGCCGAACTGCAGAACCACATCGACTTGAACATCGGGCGGCTGGACACGTACGACGCCTTGAAACGCGAGGTGGAGCGGTACATCGAGCAGGTGGTCTGCCGAGAGGGGCCCGTGCCGATGGACATCAGCTCTTTCGCGAGGGTCCCGAAGGGCGGCAAACCCAAGGGAAAGGAAGGAAAGGGAAAGGACGGCAAAGGTAGGGACAGAGACTTGGCCAAAGGTGGCAAGGCCGGAGGGCCTCCGACTGGGGTTTCTGGCATCGGCGCGGGACGTGGCGCGCAGAGTGACCAATTCCAAGGTTATTGTGACCGCTGCTGGCGGTGGGGCCACAGGAAGCGCGACTGCTACAGCAAGACCGACGCCAACGGCAGACAGCTCCCTCCGCCCTCGGTGCCCCCAGGGCGGGGGCAGCCTCCCAAGGGAGGTAAGGGAGGCAGAGGGGGCTACCTAAAAGGTCGGCCGGTCCAGGGCGGATCGGCCCACGAGCTTTCAGGTGCAAGCGAGGAGCTCTACCCGGCGGACGTCCAGCAGGAGGGTACGATTGGATCTCTCTTCGTGCTGGACACGGACAGTGCCAAGGAGGCGAGGACAACGGCGACGCCCTCGAGTGCCAAGCGCAAGACGGTGGCCCAGAAGGAGAGGAGGATGAGGCTGAAGAAGGAGAAGGAGGACAGGGAGCGCAAAGCTTCAGGTCTTGATTGGGGCAACTGGATCCAGGCCCAGCGCGCGGCTCGACAGGAGCGCCGCGACCAGGCCGGCCACCCAGGTGCGACGCCGAAGTGGCAGGCGAGACCCAAATTAGAGTCGTCGCCACCTTGGCGGAAGGCGAGCCGAGGTCTTGAGGTGCCTGTGGATGAGGTCTCGCGGCCGGCCCCCCGATCGCCTTCAGCACGGAGGTCGTCGTCGACTTCACCGCCGTGCTGCGTCCGCAAGCTTACCGGCAGGAGCGCCTGGGAAGAGCAGCATGCAGATCCCCAGGAGGACCGTCGACGACGACCACGGCGGGAATCTGAGCGTGAAGATCGCAGGATTGAGGAGCTGAGGAGGAGAAGCCATCAGGA